TCTCAGCATCACGTGTTGCCACCTCACACGTGACCCATGAAAGCACGTCAGCGTGCACCCTAGGACTCTGGCACGGATGCTGGGAGACAGTGGCTCACCCTGCTGGCAGCTCCGTCCCCACCACACAGGGTGGAGGGGCTTTCGGAGGCGAGGGCGTCCAGGGCCCCATCTGAGTTCCTGGATCCGAGCACATCTCGAGGCCAGGAGCCTGTAGACTCCCCTTTGGGGAAAGTCTGTTTTGAGGGGGTTCCCGTCACCCGCAGTCAGGAGTCCTGCTGACACGGCTCTGGCTTGGGCAGCCCTCCCCTCCCCAGCCCACCACCCCACCTCCGAGGGCCGGCAGGAGCCCTTCCTAGACACCTGGCCTCACTCTTCCAGGCTCGCCCTGCGGCTGGTCACCCTGAGTCCCAGTGATGACTGCCTGTGGCCTGCAAGCTCGCAAACACGGTGTTTAGACTTAACGCCCCATTGTTTCGGGAGGGGCGTCTTCTTTTCCTCCAAGATTGAGACTGTAAGCTCATGGGAAGAGACAGGGACCCAGCTGAATCGTTCTTATATTTTCCTGAGGCCAAACAGGGTGCTGTGCACAGAGCAGGCACCCAATAAATATTTGTTGAGGATATGAATTATAAACGTAAGGGTAATATTGACTGTGTCCAGGCCGAGGAGAGAGAGTCCTGGGGGAAACGGGCAGCGGAGAGTCGCCTGTTTAAGCAGCTGGACACGCAGGCAGGCAGGGAACAGGTTTCATCCTTTCTTCAGTCACAATGGCTTCTCCTGCCTGTACCCCGCTTCCTTACCACAGACACCATTCTGTCCCCTCTGCTCCTCACCCCGCTTCAGCCTGCCTCGTGCCCCTACCTCTGGGGCCGCTCTAAAGGCAACAGTGACCAACATGTGACCGACCTGTCACAAAACACAGACACGCAGGCTTCCCTCTGTCCCCCAGCAGCAGGAGGCATGCTCCCTCCCAGCCTCTCTCTCCTCCCTCGGCTTCCCCGAGGCCTTCCTCTCGTTCCCGGTCAGCTAGGCCTGCGCGTCTCTCTCCGATCTCTAAACGCTGCATTTTGCTAAGGCGGACCCTCTCCTCCTCCACGGGTGTCCTTTCCCAGGGCGATCTCGGCACTTATGGATTTAATTGCCATCTTTATGCTGTCGATTTCCAACGTTGTTTCTCCAGGCCAGACCTCTTCTCCGACTTCCACTCGTGTATCCATGTGCTTATTTGCCAACTCTCCCCTTTTGTCCCATAGCAGATACCGATACATCTTAAATTGAAACATTTTTTCCCAAGTGTCAGTAAGAATGCTTTGGCTACAAAAAAAAATTGTCTCAGGTTACAAGAAGCCCAGAGGCGGGGAAACTGATGGTCAGCGCAACGATGTAATCAACCGCCCAGGTTCTCTCCACTTTCTGCGCCGCTGTCTCTGTTTGACTAGATCCTTAAGCTTTGCCCTTCGTGTTAACGAGAGGCCACTATTTTCAAGCAACACAAAAGATTCTTCTAGAAGAGGCCTATGTCCTAATGGACGTCTCTCTTTTATTAGGAAGGAAATCTTTTCCCAGAAGCCCCTCTCCCTGGACCACACGCTGATCCCCTGCCTACAAGGGGAGCAGTGAAGGTGGGTAAGGCTTCTGTGTTTCCATGGTTTCCATGGTGACTGTCCTCTCTGTCCCCTGGACTGCAGCCACAGCCTCTTACCTGCTTGCCCAGCTTCTGCTCCGGCCTCTCCCCCATCTGCCTGTCTGCCACAAACTGTGGATGAACACGTTTTAAAGTATAGTGTGTGCAGCCAGTATAACGTCAATGTGTTTTCTCTTCTCCATCAAGACTAGGCCCTGGGACTTCCCTGGTGGCTCAGTGGTTAAGACTACATGCTCCCAATGCAGGGGGCTTGGGTTCAATCCCTGGTCAGGGAACTAGATCCCACATGCATGCTGCAACTAAGAGTTCGCACGCCACAACTAAGGAGCCCGCGAGCCGCAACTAAAGACCCAGTGCAACCAAATAAATAAATAAATAATTTTAAAAAGCACAAAAAAGGCTAGGCCCTGCAGTGACACTCATGGCTGCACGGAAGGGTCCATCTAGACCCAAGAAGTCATTGCTCAGATTTGAGTTTTAAACCTAAACTTTTAAGAGCTCATAGCAAGCCTTAGTCTTAGAAGCAAGGCTTTCAAGAGAGAGGAAAGGGAACCATGAACCAAAGTTTGTGAGATTCACCCTTAGAGCAAGAAACCCAAGGCGATGATGTGAGAGAAATGCCCCGCAGCATAAGGAGAACATTACTTCCAGGGCTGGGGAGAGATCTGACGGGCTTTAAAAGGGAGACGCCAAGCTTGTCATGCTGCCTGGGTCCCTGGAAATGGACCCCGGCTCATCCTGCAGTCCTCAGATGTGGGACTTGCAATGATAAACAACCTGGGCTTGGACGGGGTGCTCTGAAGGCGTGGGGCTCCCACCTGTACCTCTGGGAGAGGCACACACCTTCTCTGTGCCAGCACAGGGAGGGTGCAGTGGGTGATGCCTGGGGTGCAGCCAGGCAGGGAGAGGACCTCAGCTGGTGCCCCAGAGCCACAGTCCCCACACACAAGCTAGAGGAGTCCCCAGCCCCGCGTGCCCTGGCGTGGAGGGTGGACAGGGTCACTGGACCTGAAACCGGGGGTCAGGACCGTGCACGTGATGAGCTTGGGGTCAGAGGTCACGATGGAAGTCCTGACACTGGCAGCAGGTGCCAGCCCCTGACCAAAGGCTGTGGACAGGGCATCACCTGCAGAGGCCAGAGCCTCCACCCTTCACTGCCACGGGGTTATACGCGCACGTCCGAGCCCCGGCGCCACGGAAGGAGACGGGAACGAGGGATTGTAGGAGGAAGGCTTGAAATGACTGCGGTTTGAGCTGTACAGTGACCAAGGTCACCAAAGGAACCGGATCTGAACAGACTGGTGACGGGACAGGGCCCGTGTCTGCCGGCGGCAGGCGTCTGGGGCTCCAAAGGAAAGTGGAGCTCAATTTTAGAAAACTGAGAAAGTTGCAATTATTTTTCGTTCAGCTGTGTAAAGTATGTGTACTTTATACATATTGTCTCCTGCCCACCCCTCAAGGTCATGCTTCAAGCTTTTCGGCAATACCCCTTTGCACTCAAAATAAAGCCCCAAATCTTTTCATGACGCTCTGGGTCCTATGACCCAGAGCTCTGGGTCCTATGACCTGGCACCTGGCTGCGTCTCCGTCTCCACCCCTGGCTGGTGAAGGTAGCAGAGAGGAATGTGGACTTGGGGTGGGGTCTGAATCCTGGCTCCTCTTGGGCGTGTCCCTTGTCACCTCTGTGCCTCAGTCTCCTTGCAGGTAAAACAGGGATCACAACAGTGAGCTGTTGGTGAAGGGCATTGTGGTCTCTTGATAGAGAATCACGTGTCTGGACATGCACTCTGGCCTCTTCTCTCAAGTAGAACTTCCTGCGGTTTGCTAACTAAGGCTCCGAGGTCCGCCTCCCCTCCCATCCCCTGGGTCACAGTGGTACAAGGTCCTTGCTCCCCTTCATCGTGATGTGGTAAATTACTTAGGCGGATGGTGGTCACCTAACTTAACGCTTTGGGCATCTCTCTTTGTATGAAGGCAGATGTTCAGTTAATGACAAAAACACTGCATTTAAAAATTCTGACTGATGGTCTTTTGCTCTCACGACAGTCTGGTGCCATCTTGGCTGCATCAGGAACAGCAGAGGTGGGCCAAGTGCTCGCCTGTGACACCCCCGGGGTGTCCGCTCTCACACCTTCTCCTGACCTTCCCTGATGCTGGGTGTGAATTCTGGTTCTTCGGGTTATAAAGTCAGGGTTAAAAAATAAATGGAGAAGGCAAATCATTCCCTTATAGTGGAACGCCAACTAATAAATGTAGAGGAAATGATGGCAATTTTCAAAAGCACTGTTTGGCAATGGTCATAGGGATCCAGGCAGAAGCGACTGACGGAGTCAAGGTTGTCAGAGGTTCACGAAGAATAACAATGGTGGAATCTCGGAATCGCTCCCTACGAGATACTAATTAATTCACAAATGAAAAAGTGGAGAAACGTAGCAAACAACGGGAGGACGATGTCGTCAAGATTAACGTCACCCACGCTAGGAGCGGTTGCAATCCTGTGCCGGCGATGCGCGCAGTACCATTTCTGTGATGTAACCACCAAGAAAGTATGACCCGAGTCTGCTCCTGAGGAAACGTGGATGTACACTGCCTGAGGGTCACGTTATATGAATGAAAGTCTGTGATCTTTAATAAAAAACTGTCGGGGACAGGAAGACACTGAACGGGTAACTGGTGACGGGCTCCTGGAGCACAGAGGAAAGAGACATCCACGACACGGTTGGCAGAAACCTACATGGGGTCTGCGGGTCGGATCTTAACATAGTGTCACCACCGATTTCCGTGCTGGGTGGCTGGAGTGGTCACGTAGGGAGTATTGGGGGCGGGGGGGGAGGTGATGGGGCATCGTGTCCACGCCACGCTCTCACGTGGTCCAGAACAAGAGTAAGGAAAATGCGCACATACACGTACACACACACGGTCGATCCTTCATGGCTGTGGTTTCCACATCTGTGAACTTGCCCACCCGCTAAAGTTCATCTGTAACTGCAAAATCAGTGCCTGTCTGCGTGAGCCGGCTGGACGCACTTCCAGCGGAGCCTCGCGCCGGGTACCGGCCGCCCGCGCCCCCAGCCTCCGTGGCGCCCAGCGCGGGGTATCCTCCCCCCGCACCCCGGCCCCGCCCGCCCTGACTCAGCGCCCCGCTCCGGGTGCCGGCCCAGTGCGCCTGCGCAGAGCTGCCTCACCCTGACTCCTCAGCCCGAGAAGCCGCCGGACAGTTCGAGAAGAGGCGAGGAGTGGGCGGGCCGACGGGGCCGCGGAGGGCGCGATTGGTCGGCCTAGCGGTGACGTCTAGGGGCGCGCCGGGAACGCCTGGCCGCGGAGGGCGCGATTGGTCGGCTCGGCGGAGACGTCGTCGGGGGCGCGCCGGGGACGCCCGGAGGGCGGTGGCTCTCTGACCCGGCGGCTATGAATAAATGGCCGGGAGGTGCTGGCGGCGCGATGCTGGGCTCTCCCGCGGACTCGGACCGGCCTCGGCCGTCGCTCGGATCCTGTTTTCCTCGTCCCTTTGGCCTTGTCCCCCGCGGCTGACCGCGGACAGGGAGACAGCTCTTGGTCTCTGCCACCTTCCGCTCCCCTCTGCGGCTGCGCAGGCCTCAGACGAGGGCCAGGTACGGGGTCGGCCTGGGGGTGCCGGGCGGGGGTCGGACGGGGCCGCGAACCTCGGACTGGCAGGGCGTCAGTGTCCTAGCAGAACGGGGCTCTCACACCGCGGCTGCGGCGCCGAGAGCGCGACCACGTCGGGGTTGAGTTCGGCTTCCCGTCGGTCCTCGATCGATTGATTCCCGAACGTCCGCTGGGTGTTGCTGATCCAGGATGGGCAGATCCGACCTGGGCCCTGCGCTTCGCGGAGCCGAGAGTAGGGAACGAAGCTGCAGTGGGAAGCCGAGCGAGCGGGTCCTGGGAAAGGAATTACAGAGTAGAGGAAGCGCGATTTGGGTGGGGCCAGGTGAGGGTGTTAGGAAAGGCCCCGAGTGACGCTTTAAACCGGGCCCTGAGGGCATGAGCGGGTGTCAGCTGTGGCCGGAGTATCCCAGGCCTCCCGGCAGCGCAGCGGGAGAGCTGATGGGCAGGTCCGGAAGAGGCCCCGGGGACGTGAATTCTGGGAGGGACAAGAGTTTTGAGAGGTTTGGTGGGTGCCAGATCACGGAGGGGCCCCTGTGAGGCGTGCCGTGGACTTCAGTTTTCTCTCAGGTGCAGTGGCATCACCGTTTGTCCACCTGTTTTCCACTGGTGAGTTGACGACTTCCCCTTCCCCTGGTCAACTCCAGGTTGATTGTCATTAAGGAATAAATTCTGAGTAAAATTCAATGCATAAGGGAGTTAAAGACAGCAACAGGGGACTGAGTCGAGTGTAGTTAAGTAACGTGACTTAGCACCTGGTAACGGAGTTTTGTTTGTCAAGTATATTCAGTAGATGAAATTGCGATTTAAAGTTCACCGAGGCTGTAACTTTCCCTAGTAGCTGTGTAGTTGAATATGGGACGTCCCTGTCAATATGGGTCAAAATATGGATTAATGAAAACTTAAATTCGGGTTGAGCTTGATAAACTAGGAATTAAAAGAACTGAAAAACAATCTGTCTGCGAAGGGGTTTGATTCTGAAGGAGCTTTTCTACTTACGCTAAAAGTCCCATTTTCTGTTTGCTGAAAGGCAAGAATTTGTGACACTTAGGCCCCTGCAGGAGCCCAGATGACTTGGGCATTTGATGCTCCCTGCGTGTTTACTTACATCAGCTGTGCAATATTAACCCTGGTGACTGAAATTCGGACCATCCTTGCTTTCCTCCTAATTATTTCTAATTCTTGCAGGTTACATTTCACTCTGTCATCTGTGTTTTGGACATTTTCTCATAATGGAGTTCCCTGATTTGGGGAAGCATTGTTCAGAAAAAACCTGCAATCAGCTAGGTAAGCACTTCTAGGAGAACGTTAACAGGAAATGGGTGTCTTGTCATCTATCTGGGAGAAGAACTGGCCACTGTCTTCATTAGCTGTCGTTCTCTGGGCCTTGGCCTTTCCGGCTTTTCAGTAATGAGATGCTGGCCTGAGTTTTTGGTTCTGTACAGCTAGGTACAAGGCTGGCTGCCAGCACGGAGTGGATTTAAATGCTCTGCTTAAATACGTGGTACCCCGTGAGGTGGGGTCTCTTTGGAAAGGATAGCTATGCCGGTTCTGCAGTGTTGCTGGCATTGTCAAATTCATGGCCCCTAATTTTTTTCTCATGTGGTACCTCGAGGATGTATTTGATAGGCATAATATGAACTCAGCAAAGGTAAATACCTGTTTAATACGATCTATGATTCTTCTGTTCTAGTCTTTCAAACACTTTACTGTTTTTTGTGTGTTTTTTGTTCTTTTTTTTTTTAGATTTTCTTCCGTTAGAATGTGATGCATGTAAACAAGATTTCTGTAAAGATCACTTTACCTGTGCTGCACATAAATGTCCCTTTGCATTCAAGAAGGTAATTGGTCATACTTCATTCTAAAGATTCTCATCCTCACTCTCCAAAACTGCGCTGCCCGAGATAGTGGACACTAGCCACATGTAGAGAAAACTTAATTAAAATTAAATAAATCCTAAAAGTCCTGTTTCTCAGCGACGCCAGCCACGTTTCAGGTTTCCGGGAGCCGTGTGTGGACAGAGCAGCTGTGGAGCTTCTCCATCGTTGCAGAAAGCTCTGGACGGCACAGCTCTAAGGCAACAGGTTGTTTTCCTGGAATGAAATTGTTGTGCCTAAACCTACAGAGCTTACTTTACATGTTAAAACGCTTAGTTCCTTTTATTCAACACACAAGGAGCAACAGCTCTGTCTTCACGGGGCACAAGAAACGCAGCGCAGCGCTTGATGGGAGCTCTGGTCTGGGCAGAATTGTAAATGCTTGCTTGTCTGGGCAACTTTGCAGCCTTGGCATCCTCCCTGGGTGATTCAGACAGTTCCTGGTGGAAGCTGGAGGGTGGCTGCAAGGAAACAGACTTGCTTAAGTCCAGAGGTTTAAGACATTGGTTACTGACTTTTCAGGTGGTCCCAGCCTGAACTCACTTTGTTTTGGGTGCTTCAGGGAGCATTTTCGTGAGCTCTTCTGTCAGCACTCTGCTGCTTCCCCAGGGTGGCAGTTAGAAGTGCGGGTGACAGTGCGACACCCTTTGACCAGTGTCGGCTGGGGTCTGGCCCTTTGCTGATTCATGGGGGCGGGGGAGGGTGACTCATGTTCACCCGGCACCGATGACCAGGTCAAACTACCTGGTCTGTTGCCTTGACCTTCCTGTGTCCCTGGATAGGGAGAGTCTGCCTAGAGGTGACTGAATGATGCTTTATTTCTTAACTTGGCCAACTTGCCAGCTGCAGGAGCACCCCTGGGTGGCTTTCCAGCTCAGTTCCCAGACAGCTGGCATCGCGATTCTGTGATTACCTGTTACTCGTCCACATGTCACTTCAGTGTTCTTGAGCTAAATTAGCTCAGCTCCTGCCCTGGCCCAGAGGGATTTTAACCGTGCTGGGCGTTCCCTCCAGAGCCCCCCAGTGCTGGGCTTGGTGGTGGTTCTGAGCCTGAGAGCTCAGCCTGGCCACGTGCGCCCTTGACTGATGAGCTAGTCTGCCTGCGTGGCCGCGGCGGAAGCTACAAGGAGCACCGGGGAGGCCGTTGGCAGGCGAAGGAGCTGAGGCTCTTCACGGCTGGTGTTTCTTCCTGGCAGCCCCACCCTCGAGGTGTTTGGGCAGCTTCACTGCTCACTACATGGTGCTGGACAGATAGCCCTGCCGCCCTGAGACTGTCCTGGATCGGTTCACCAGCTGCCTTCCTGGGCTGCACTTGACCTCTGTCTCAGGGTCATTTCTGCGGGTGGTTAATAGTCTGTTTCTTCAGTTCTCCTGGGTTCCACTTCAGGCAACTGTCTGCAAGCCCTAGGGATGCCTTGCTGCCGATCCCCTGTGCCAACCACACTCTCCTCTCGTGGGGGGCAGATGTCAGTGTTTGTACTCTGTTTGCTTTTCAATGTGCTGTACCACTGTGCCTTTGTGTGTGTGTGTGAGGTTTGATTGTCTGAATCTGGAATATCATCTTGTATTTGTTATTTTTAGGATGTTCAGGTGCCAGTGTGCCCACTTTGTAACAGCCCCATCCCAGTAAAAACGGGAGAGGTCCCAGACGTGGTGGTCGGTGAGCACATGGATGGAGCTTGTAAGCACCACCCCGGGAAGAAGAAAGAGAAGGTGAGGACAGAGTCTGTGTCAGCCCTCTGGGGGCTGGTTTCTCCTCAGAGGAAGGAAGGTCAGTTATCCAGCGAGGCTAAGTAGTTTTAATAGTTTTTGTACAGAATAAAATCCTAACAGTTGATCGGTGTTTTCGTGGGTTGTGAACAGCATGGGTTTTTACAGGCGTATGAGCATATTTCCTAAATATTAGGGCCTATGTTAGGATTTGCTTTCGTTACAGGAATTCCTCCCAAGATGGAAAGTTAATGTGGTTTTCTAGAATCCTTCTGTTAGTGTGTGGTTTTTCCCAAGCTCCGCCTGGGAAATGTCAGCGATGTAAAATCAAACATGGGCGTTCCTGCTCTGGTCGTCTTGGTGCTCGTTCTGAAGTCCCGCGTCTGTCCGTTTGGAGTCGGCTGTGGTGGAAGGAGCGGCCACCTGCCTCTCCTTAAATACGTGGTACCATGTACTGAAGCAGAGCATTGAAATCCAGCTCGCGTTTGTCTCGTTCACCCTGTAGTGCTGGGTGACGCCCGGTCCCCGCGGTGCGCCGGCCGCTGGGCTCCGGCACCCTCGCTGCGGCGCCCTCGCTGCGGCTCGCCTGGGCGTTCGCTGGCGTCGGGGGTTTTCCCGCTTCTGCTGCTGCTCAGGGAGTTCCCGCAAGGGGCCGGCTGTCCTCCTTGTCCCCGGGTGTGGCAGCTTCCCCCTGGCTGACCCTGTCGCCATCTCCTCTGGACTCCCGCTCTGTGGGGCTGGACCTCCCGGGCCGGCCTCCTTTTTCCCCTCAAGTTCCCTCTTCTCTGTGTGACCCATGTACAGGTGGTCTTTCCTACGTCGTGGTCAGTCGTCCCCACGCGCCAGGTCCACAGCTGACCGCGCGCGCGCGCTGGGGACAGGGCAGCTCTGCCGTGTGGGCGGGGGTCCTCCCAGACGCGCGGCCTCCTCCCGGGCCCCGCGTTACCCGCGCTGCCTCTGCTGCTGTCGATTTCTGAGCCTTCGGGGATTCTGTGTCACACATACGCTGCTTCTTGACCCTCCCTGCCGGCTCATAGTTCAGCTTTTTCATGTCTGCTGAGTCCGTTACTGCTCGTCCACGTGCTTTTTCTAAAATCTTGTGGCTGTTTTGGGCTTCCCTGGCGGTCCAGTGGTTAAGACTCCGCACGTCCACTGCAGGGGGCTCTATCCCCTGGTCAGGGAACTAAGATCCCGCATGCCGCGTGGCACAGGCAAAAAAAAAAAAAAAAAAAAAAATTAAAATCTTGTGGCTGTTTTCTTTTTATCTTTTGCCCTTTGGGGTTCATCCATCCTTTTTCAGAACATCTCTTTGTGGTCACTTTTATAGAACTTCAGGCGGAATCGGAGCCGCCACCTGTGGTCACTTCTCCATCCTCAACTAGAGTCTAAGGAGACTCGGGTTGGACATGGCCCGTGGCAGCTGGTCCACTCCTCGGACTGGAGACTCTCGGAGCCCTGCACGCGTCCCCAGGCCCAGCCCAGCACTGCACGCTCCCTGGGGCCTCCGGGTTTATTTGGGTGGTTTCCCTAGGATGCGGGCTGCGCTGCCCCCTGCTGTCTTGGCCTTTAGAGCTTATCTCCAGGGCACTGGCTTCTGACCACCTTACCTCACGGTTTCTGTACGTTACACTAAATACAGAACAAATGCAATTATGACAAATAACCTGGAACAGGAGAGGGTGAAGTCTGTCCCTGAGCTTCCAGCCCAGACCCTCTGATTGGAGGCCCCCCCCCGACCCCTTCCTGGCCCGTCTCCTCCAGCCCGTTGCTGCTGCTCATGTTTGCCATGCCTCCGAGCCTTCCGGAAGCTTCGGTGACCAGGCCCTCCTCCCTCCTGGCTCCACCCTCACTTCCCCACCGCGCGCTGCCCCTCCTCGTCTTCCGGGCTCCACTGGCACCTGCACTGTTTCCACGCACCCGGGTCACTCGCCCTTCTTGGCCAGAGGGCTGCCCCCCAGCTGCCGGACCCCTCCTCCCTGACACCGTCACCCACACAGAGTCGGAAGTGCCCGGGAGTTTATATCACCGCAAAGACCCCGCAGTAACTAACGGCTGTGCCGGCTCCCCTGCCCCTGACGGGACACAGCCTGCGCCAGCTCCCCCTAGGGCTGTGCGCCACGCCTCGGGCCTGGCCTCCTTCCCTCCCGTGTCCCCGTCCCCTGCCCCCCGTCTTGTTCTTTTCCTGCAGTACCCCCCCAAGCACCTCACATGAGACCCCAACTTAAAATGCCGCTTTTGTATTTACCACTTGTTAAAACTTTTCTGTCTCCTAAACTAGTATTTCCTTGTTTACCTGACAGAAAGACATCTCAGCGAAACCCCGGTGCCTTCATTCTGTTTAGCTAAGGACCGTTTCTAGTTTAAATGCCGATGGTCTCATGGGGGGGCGGGGCTTGTCGAATGATTGCTCGGTGAGGCTGCTGGAACATTGAAGCAACTTGTACTTTCTCAGATTTTCACGTACCGCTGCTCAAAAGAGGGCTGCAGGCGGAAAGAGATGCTGCGGGTGGCTTGCGCCGAGTGTCGCGGCAGCTTCTGCATTCAGCACAGACACCCTCAGGACCACGGCTGCACCCGCGGAGGCCCCGCTGCCAGCACGGCGGGGTGAGGAGAGGCCCGGCTCGGCCTGCATGGCGTTGGGACAACCTGGACCCGTGCTGCACGCTCAGCTCTTGGTGTTGACCATTCGCTGTAGGGGTTTGGGTGAATATGATCTTAATTAAAAGCGGATTCCAAATCGAAGCCGGATTCTAGTCGTTGTTTGCTGGGACTGCAGTTCTGGAGCCAGAAATGCCTGCTCACCGCGCGGGGCCGTGGGGAGGGTCTCCCCCGGCCTCCCCCTCGTGAGGGTGCTTCCCGTAGGCTCGGGGTTCTCTGGCTTGTGGACGCGTCACCCTGGCCTTTCACCTTCCTGTGGCGTTCTCCCTGTGCACGGTGCTGTCCAAGCGTCCCCTTTGCATGAGGACACTGGTCTGTGGGGTCAGCGCACTGAGCTCACCCCCCCTAACCTCCAGCGACCCTCCCTCCAAATAGGTCCTGGGTGTCGGACTCCACCCCACCTTCTGATGGGGGCAGTTCTGCCCCTTCACTGGTTATTTACAGGGAGAACCTTCCTCGGGTCGGTGGAAAGGTCTGCCCCCACATTCCGTGGGTAGAAATGGAAGCCCGAGTCACCTGTCACTTCCACTCGGCCGTTTCTCGTGGTGTCTGTGCCCGAGCAGGGCTGGGGGGTGACCTCGTCCCTGCGTGCGTGGCTCTCGGCACCGGTGAGGGGTTGGCTGAGCTCTGACCTGACCCTTCTGCGCAGGTGCTCGGCAGCAAGGGACTCGGAACCTGGGCCGTCGGGGGCTTCACGCGAGGGGCCGGGCGGCTGGCTGGCTCGGCGCTTCAGGTACTGGTCGGGGGCGCGCGGTGTTGCTGCCCTTGTGTCGGGCGGGGCGGTTCTCCGTCCCTCGGGTGCGTGCTCAGCGCTCATGACTGGCCGCCTGGAGCTCCGCGCTCCGTCACAGCTGGATGGGATGGAGGGACGCACGCCCGGCCTTGGGCTTTGTCAACCCCGGGTGCACACGCAGGTCCCGCCAGCACAGGGTGACGAGAGGAACACTTTGTAGCTGGTTTCTGAAGCACTGTGTTTGGCGAATGTCTTTTGTACGATCACCCGCTTCTGGTTAATCAAGACAAACCTAAGAACATAGCTGTTTTCTTCTCTTTCAGGTGGAGAGTAGAGCGTTGATGTGACTGTGTCTGTTCAAACTGGCCTCTTTCCGTCCATGATTTGCGCTTTGTGGAACTTTTATGCTCTAGCACTTCCATACTTCCCACCGCGAGCAGCTCTGCCCTGAGCTGAGCTGGTCAGGGGCTTCTGTCACTTAAACCACCGACAGTGGATCTCACTGTGTCTTCCTCACGTGGCATCTGAGCCCAGGCACGGGGGCAGGACTACACCTACCCTGTTAGGGGTCCTTGTCCAGTGGTGGCCCCCAGCCCACCGCTCCTGTTTGACTGAGAGAACAGCCTGTGACCCTCTGACTGCAAGCATTGGGGTGACACCGAGGGCTTTGGGGCCTGTCAGGAGCGCCGTCATCTCCTGGGACCTCAGGGAACCGGATGAAGAGAAATGCCATCCCAGGCATAGCCCCAGGGGCACCCAGCCATGCGCTCCAGACATCCCACTGCTTGCGGATTAACAAAAATCCAAGCAGTTTCTCTTCCTTGTTTGGTTTCATAGCCTCAAAATATAATGGTTGTGACCAGCTAGAGGGGTGGGATAGGGAGGGTGGGAGCGAGGTGCAAGAGGGAGGGGATATGGGGATACATGTATGCACATGGCTGATTCACTTTGTTATACAGCAGCAGCTAACACACCATTGTAAAGCAATCATACTCCAATAACGATGTTTTACATATATATATATATATATGTATATAGTGGTTGGGGGATGTATTCAGTTCCCATCCCACGGGCGGGTTATCCAGCTCTTTCTACGCCCTGTCCTGTTGGTGGCGTTAGATCTGGACCCGTGGTTGTCCAGGTGCACCAGAATCATGCGGGGCCTGGTAGAGCAGTGCCACCGCCCCCCACCCCACCCCAGCGGAGTTCCTGACGCTGTGGTTCTGGGGACTACGTGGACGGAGCCCTTTCTGCGGTCCAGGGCCAGTGCAGCGGCCACTGGCCGCTAGGGAGCACGTGGAGCCGGCGTCCAGCGTAGCCGCAGAGCTGTCACCTGCATCCAGTCATTAGGAAGCCATGTTGAGTATGTCAGGAACATGAATATGTGAATCTGGTTTTTCAGCTGTAAATTTTATAAAATCTAAGTACAGGTCTTTCTCAAGTAAGGTTAATGTCCAAATTGAGACACTGGGTTTGGAAGTCAATGCCAAAAAAAAAGTGAAATATCTCATTGTTAAAAATATTTACAGGTCGAAATAGTATTTTGGATATGATGGATTAAATAAAACATTAAAGTGAGTTTTACCTGGTTTTGTTTTGTTTTTTAATTGTGGGTACTAGAAATTTTA